ATCTGCCCTCAGTACGTCAGTGGTTGGCTGGCCTCATTTCTTCTTTCCCCACTGAAACGTCATGCCCCCTGACTTTTTATTATAAGAAATGGGCTGCTTTGTTGGATTATTAATTTTGGAAGCCCAGGCCTTTTTTTTCTCTCTCTTTTTTTTTTTTTTTTCCTTCTCATGCTGTAGAAATGCACGTCATAAAAGAGGAGTTTGTACTGTTGTTTAAGAGCGTTGGGCAGCAGCCCTGAGGCAGGAGGTAACATAGTAATGAAGCACTTTATGTGAGAGAACTGTGGCACAAAATACACTGTAATCAGAGATCCTATAAAGTGCTGCCAACTCAGAAGCTGCAAAAAGCTGCTTGAACTAACAAACAAAAAAGAATGCAGTATGTTTGAATGTACAGGATGTTTGAATTTAGCTATTAAAATATTCAGACCAATTAGTGAAGTGTAAAACCTCAGTTGGTACAATATGTACCCCCTTACTTGCAGCTGTGAAGTATATTTGCTTAAAAAGCAAATTTAATCTCAGCTGACAGCCTTTAATACCTGTGACCAGTGTTCATCAGGAAATGGCACCTCAGGGAGAATTAGTTTCTGCAAGTTTGGTAATTGGAAGGAGGAGGGGCAATATATTTTGAAGGAAATGTTATATAAGATCAGAGGGCCTCAGTGACTGTAGCAGTTACTGTCATCTAAAGACATTTGCCTAAATACCCAGCGTTTTAGTAACGAGAATTTCAAGTTGGATCCTAGTGCTGAGTGAAAATAGGGACTTCTTAAAATTTTGCATAGAGAGCATGTTCCTTTATTCATTTTGACCAGCTGTGCTAGTCACAGCTGTCTGTGCACGTGCTGTTGGCTTTGTGGTATGACTCTGTTATTTAAGCATATGTTTGAGCACCCTTATTGCCACCATGATTAAATTGTTTTGATCACAGTATGCTTAAATTTTTGTGTAAACTGCCTTTGGCTTCACTGAGGTCGAACTGAGCAGTGATACTGTGAAGTTCATGAAGATTTTACTTATGGTTTGCCTGTTAAGTAAAATAAGTAGCTGTATGTGTGTTATATGATCTAACTAATGCATCAGAACAAAGTCTAGGTTGCTGCTATTGTCACCTCTGCTTGCACAAAATATATGATTCTTAACAGCTTTCTATGTGCTATTACTATTAGTACCTTGCAGTATTATTGTTTTGTTCTTATTATAAGAGAGCTGAAATATGTACCTATTTAGACATAATTTCATCATATGTTCTCCCTAGAATAAGAAATGCCTATCCTGCTTCTGACTTAAAGACAAATACTGGGAAAATCTGGAGTATCACAACAAGGTTCCCAGACCATATCCTTGGTAAATCAAAATTCAGAATCAGCGTTTGGACAAATTCTTCACCATATCCACTGCTTCTTACACAAAGTGGTAAGTGACTGAGATTTCCATAGCCTTCCACAATTCAGATCTGTTGAGATGACAACAAAATGCGTTTGTTATCTGGAAAGACACTTGGAGAGTAAGCTTTATGTGAGCCTTGCGTGCATTCTTTGTCATGCACGTTTGATGCGTTTGCTGTAAAGTTAAAATCACATCAAATATCAAGGTTATGAACACTTTCACTAAGGTATAGATCTATGCTTTCTTTAATCACAGTTGGCACCGATTCCAGCAGTCCCAAATGGGTCAACATTCACACTTTGATTCAGAAAGTACTTAAGGATGTGCCTAACTCAAAACATATGGGTAGTCCCATATAATCATAGGACTTTTCACATCCTTGAGTCTATTGCTGAATCCAAGGCTTGAAAGAGTCTGTAGTTTCTAAGACTGTTCTGCATCTAAGGTTGATGACCTTAGATGGGGTCATGGGGAAGTGTATGTTGGTCATAAATTGAAATGGGAGAAGTTCTGACTGGGTATGAAGAAAAGGAGAATAATTAAGCATGGGAACATATTGCCCGCAGAGGGTGTGAAATCTCTGTCCTTTGATGTTTTTAAGATCTGACTGGACAAAACCCTGAGCAACCTGGTCTGAATTCATGTTGAGGCTGCTTTGAGCATGAGGTTGGAGTAGATGGACCTCCTGAGGTCCCTCCCAACCTGAATTATTCTATTACTAGTGTCTGTGGGAAGCTGTCATGACCACAGTGCATGGTGTATCTGTGGTGAATGGGAGGATCTTAGATTCTAATTCTGGTAATTGTTACCTCTTAAACTATATACGGAAAAACAAAAGAAATTAAATCTTTTTTCCCACCTTATCTTCATGTGTTTCATTAAGTGATAATCTTTTCTATTTGAATCTCTTTTTTGGTTGTCCAGGAATTATTTGTCTGTAACAAACTCAACTGATGGGTTGAAACTCAACTGATGGGTTGAAAGCTGAAAATACAAAGCTCTACAGAATGTCAGCATATATTTACAAATATATATTTTTGTAAATACTGTCACCAAGATTTCCACATTTATTCATCCAAGTTTGATTACTCGTATTGGGAGCGTCTACATAGTTATTGGAAAGCCAGGCAAAGTAGTAGTTTTAATCGTCTTGAATCGTTATTGTCTGGATTCCATGAAATCAAGGTCCCAAGATCTCAGGGCACTTTGAACAGAAGGTAGTATTCCTTGCACTGCTGTCAATTAGGCAACGGATCTACAAAGGACCTGCACTGAAGTTCACTGTAATACAAAATCTTATGGCAAATATTTTGCCATACAAAACCACTGGCAAATATTTTGTCCTGTAGCGTCATTTTACCTTACAGGTTGTTCTGCTTTTGTCCATATAACTTACTTTATCAAAATATCTGAGAAGACCCAGCTGATACCAAAGCAGATATAGGAAACAGCTCCTATCCTAAACTTGCTGACAGGCTAAGTAAACGGTGAGATGCGTTCCAAGGTGGGAGGGAGAACGCTGTTTTTGGCCCACCTAATATAAAGAGCAGAAAGAACTGTTAGGTCATGCAAAAACATATGGCAGAGCAAGAAAAGGAAAATGGATCCATGGAGTGCAAATGAATGATATAGCAAGTTTCAGTTTTTACAATGAGCAACTTGAGCAAAGTGCGTGTTATAATTTTAATTCAAGATTCTGTACCATTCCCCTTTTTCTGGTATGTGTAAATTTAGCAAACAAACATTGTAGTTTGTATGTGAAACCAGCTATAAAGAGTTGCTTAAACAGCAAAAAGGCAAAGGGCTAGACAGTTGGAACTAGTACAGCTGGTAGAAATTGTTCAAAGTGGCTTTCTGAGCAAAAGAAAATGGCTTTGTGAAGAAATGAAAGTTTTCAGAAGGAACTCTTGAATCCTTTTTTTTTTTTTTCCTGTGGAAACAGACAGACAGACTGTCTATGGAAACCAACTCTTTTCTATTTCAGCTTTCTTTTGCCATGCATACCCCTCCCCCCCAAAAATGTCGATTGTTCTGTGAAGTTCTTTCAATGTCATAGTCCCCTAAATTTCCCTTCAGAAACAATTTGGCATTTCTTGGTTTATTCTAAAATAATAGCCAAGCAACTTTGGAGCAGATTTATTGTTATGTATTGGCTACTCTTGGCTACTCTGGCCATTCATAACACCGTTAAACTCACATAAATAGGCTGGTTAGGCTCACTTTGAAGCTGCGTTCTGAATCTGGAGTGGTGTAAATTAGTCAACACAGAACTGTGATTTATGTGGTTTTTTTGGGGGGGATTTTTGTTTGGCTGCAAATAGTTTTCACTTTTATATCAAAATGTTAACTTAAAGCTTGTAGTAAAAGCATGGACTTTAATATAGCCATGGCCACTGATTTTGAAGCAATAAAGAGATACCATGAATAAAAAACTGATAGGAAAATCTGCTTTGGCTTTTCTGTTATCAGATACAAACAGTGAGGTTACTTGAAAATTCTGGAGGAAGTCCAAACTGAATCCTGCATTGCAAAACCATCTAGGTACATTATATGCAAACTTTTCACTGAAGAATCAGATATTGGCTCTGCTAGAGGGAGTGTCTCATACTTGAAGAATCGGTAAACTTATCTGGTGGAACATGCCTTGTATGCGTGTAAAGACCAAACTTAATCAGATGTGTTTGCAGTTTGGCTGCCAGTTTATGTATCTTATGTTCTTCTAGCTTTTGACCAGTTTTTCTAAAATGGGAATAGAGGCAATGTATTAACAGGGTTGGAAAATGGCTTAAAAAGATATGGAAGTGTTGAAGAAGAATTGTCAGAACAATAGAGTATTGCTGAAGAGCAGATTGCATAAAGTTAGAATTTATGTGATCGCTTACTTGTTGGTTATAGCTAATGAAAGGTGTAAAGCAGGAAACAAGGATTAGTAAAATTCTGGAGCCTGTGTGTGCCTTGTGCAGCAACAGAATCTATTTTTGCATCAGGTCATGTTCACACATGGGAAATGTACTGAGATATTAATCACAAAAACAACTCAGAATTTACAGATTTGAAAAAAATATCCGTTTGCTTCTTCTTTCTGCTTTGGAAAATTGCTGAGCTCTTCATTCCAGCTGCCGCACAAACTGCCAGTTTCCTCCAAAGAGGCATCGATTCTATAACTTGTTGCAGAGCATCTGAGGAAAAGAAAAAAAAAAAAAATCAGATGTGGCTTCTTCTAATTCCTCTTGATGGAGCTAGGCAGCAGGAGTACTTAGCATTTACAAAGAAATTCTCCTTGCTCAAGAATGTAGCCTGGAATTCTCTAGCAAGCTACTATTAATTTTTTTTGTTTGTTTGTTTGCTATCTTTATTTACAGCTGGCTGTATCACTCATGACTTAATTGTAGAGATCCTCAGTTGCACAAATCAATACCCAGTCCAGGAGGAATGTTTTCTAAGTGTTTGCGGGTCTGATGAATTCTTACAAAAGTAAGTATCTCATTAGGAGATGGTATTGATTATGTATTACATCATATAAGCATGAATGCACTCTGCTTATACGCTACGTAAACAAAACCATAGGGAGAGTTAGAGTAATATGTTCCGAATGCTAAGGATATAGCTTCTTCAACTCCTGGAACACATTGTTCCTATATTATGCTCTATAGGGATGGTGGTGTGGTCTAGGGCTTGGATCTTCTGACAGGGCATTCAGGATTCAAACCCCGTGCTCTTTACATAAGCTTTGTCCAGTCTTGAATAATTTGTTTCACTCTTTTGTCTTTCTTGTCTTCCTCATCCATAAAATAGGGATGCTGCTACTTGCAGTATCTCACAGGAGTGTTGTAAGCAGGAAGGGAGGGTATGCATCTCTTCAAAGGGGAAAAATACCAAAGACATGAGAAACAGTATTACAAAGACCTGCCTAGCAGGTGATTTTCCTTTGTATCCAGTTGCAGCAGTAGTAAAGCAAATGAAGCCAGCACTTTGTTGCTGACTGTAAGTTGCAGAAAACACGTTATACATAAAGCAGGTCTTTATGAATGTATATAGTCTAGAAGTTAGGAATTAAGTGTTCTGATTCGCATTTGTTCAGGTAAACTCTTGTGATGGTTTAAAACACTGTTGGACTCAGCTAGGTGTTTCTCCCCCTCTGGCAGCTTAAATTCAACTGTCAGCAAAAGCGAGAAGATTTTGCATCGAAGTAGCTAAATGTAAGCCCAGGTTCCCTGTTCTCAGCTGCGTTCCTGGGACAGTAACTTTCAGCAGAAGGTGGGCAGTTCTCTGTTGCAACATGTTAAACTAACGCTGCAGGACTCACAGTTCGTCTGTTAAAGGCATTAAAACTGTTAGAAGGTATGAAATAATGTACACGTGACCTATAACTGAAGGGGAAATCTTTATGAGCAGCCATACTAGCATTGTACTGTAAAGATTACCTGAACTAGCCCAAAGCAAGTCAGCTTGATGAATGAAAGTAAGGTAGCTGTCCCACCATGTAAATTAGCTTTGTTCTATAGCCAGCTGGGACATCTCTGCTCTGACACAGGTACACAAGTCAACTGTTGAGATGTTTCTTGTGAATTATACTTTGCAACTCAAGATGGAGACTTTAAGATTTCTGAACCCGGTTCTTCACTTATTTGAATCAACATATAAAGCAAGAGCTGGTATAGTAGAGTGCTATGTGAAAATGGTACAGTGCTAGAACCACCGAGAATAGAATCAGATCATAGATCTGTTGATTACATAAGAGAGCCTGTTTGGTTTTTTTCAAGTGTCTCTTCTTATTTCAAACTAATTGCTAAAGAAAATGGATATAATGAGTCATTGCATTGAGGGTGAGCTCAGTGTGTTTCAGTACAGTGTGCAGTATGTTCTATTTTCACTCTTGGGAAGAACACATCAATTTAAATTCTTAAACACTGTTTAAATTCTTGCTCTTGCAGAATCTCTGCACGTCTCATTAGCAGTGAAACAAGGTCAGTAATATTCTCAGCTTTTTTTGCTGTGCTCCTTCACGGTAGTGCAAAAAGCACTGAGCTGCAGTCTGGCCTCAGCAGCTTGAAATTCTATGCTGTGGTGTGTTTTCAGCCCTCTTCTTCCTCCTCATCAAAGTCCTTTAACTGAAATTTGAAACCGTGGATCAAAACCATCCCTTGGGTAACTTAACTTGGCCTGCGGAGTTGCCTCGAGGTGAACCTTTTTCCTATATTTATACTATCTGGTAGTGCAAATTTCTTTCTTCACTGTTATTCAACAGGCATTGTATTTTTATGGAAAGTTCTTCCCTTGTGGAGCATTTGGAATTCATTCAGTGATGAATTCCAGTAGAAGTTCCCAAGTTATGAGACAGCAAAGGGAATACTGTGCTGCTTCTGCTTTAGGGTAATCCAGAAAAAACTAAAGTGAAGGCAAAATGATGGCATGATAAACTATTTTCAGACCAATGTAGTTTAGTGGACAAGACAACATTGCGAAGATCTGTCAAAAGCTTTCGTTCACTGTTGTATTGAACTATATTAATAAGCACGTTATCCTGTCTTCTGCAGAAAAACCTGAAAGACTTGATTCCTGGAATCCATTTTGCTCTAAGTGAGATAGGGAACATATATGTGTGTGCTAATGATGTGTGCACTACAAGATACAATCATTCATTATTCCCTTCCTGTGAAAATATCCATGAGCTTATATTCTGTCTGACTCACAAGTGGAACATCAGATTTCAAATATACAAATTTAAAATATCAGAAGCCCGCGTATAGGCTGTAGTTCAGCCCATAACTAATAGAATGATTTGTGAAATTCTGATTTGGAATCTCACTTTGTTTCTAGTCTTTAAATTATTTTGATTCACTGATCAGAAGTTCTGGCCTTGCCTCAACCTGCAGGCTTTCTTCTTACAGTTTTGCTTGCTTTTTCTTACAGCATCTGTAGAACACTATCAGCATTCACTGGCACCTTTTCCCTGCCCCTTCTGTCAGTGTAAGGTGTACGTTAATCACTTCCCAGATTGATTTCCTGCAGTTTCTTTTTTTATGTTCATCTAGAAGCAGAACTCAGCCCTTGAAAAAATAGGGGAGTAGTCCTATCCCTGTCATTCATTTTTACTACTATTTACAGAAGTTTCTGATTTTTGTATGTATCCCTAGGTTGAATCTACCCTACTTTTCTGGGCTTCCCAGCTCTGGGCGTGCACTCCAGTCCCTTACGCTTGTTGTATTTATGGCCATCTTTTAGTTCTGGGAGGGCTATCGGCTATATTTGAAAATCCTCCCTTTATCACCCCTTTATCCAAACCTTCCACATCCACCTTTAAATCTTATGTTTGCACTTTCCCATCTCTCTTTAGTTTTAGAATGGATGCCCCTAAAAAGTGATTTTATGATGCCTTTTATGAAAGATGTTATATAAAGATAAATTATATTGAGGTCAAGCTGCTTATGTCAAATAACTCCTAGCTCTCGCTGCCAGCAGCAAGCCAAAAACAACTCTTGTCATGTGACAGCAGTGAATCAGTCATCCATGCAGACTTGCTGTAAAAGTACAGGCCACCAGCATTCTGAAGTGCTTAATAAAATGAAGCACATTGCTATATAAAAGAATACTGGATTCTCTTTTGTTTGTTGGTCTGGTGGTTGTTAGTAAGAAGTAGCTGCAATGCAGACCCAGTAAAGGAATGCAATCTAAGGATATATGTAAGCTTTATTTCTAATCATGGCCTGTTTTTTGAAGACTTGGGATTTTTTGAAGAATCTTTTCATACAAATTTTTAATTCCATCTGCACTCTAGCAGAGTTACCTTACTGCTTGGCAGTTCAGCCAACGCACTGAGCAGGAGTGTGGAGTAGAAAGATCTAAATGCTTATCATTTATACTCACATGCTTGTCTGTGACCTTATTGATGACATTTTTTTGCCTTGTTAATTTTATTCTCTGAGAACTGAGACCTAAATAAGAACTATTTTTCTCTCATAGTGAAGTTTAAACCATTAGTTATAAAATTGGCAGAGTTGTATTCATACAGATTGGGATCATTAGAAGCAAACACCTTTGGATGAATATGTTCCTTATAAAAGTAAACTTCATTTTCTCTTCTTGCTGCAGATCAAGCTTCTCATTCAGAGATGCTGCTTAGCTGCGCCCCTTTTTAAAAATAAATCTGGTGGAACTGCATTAGGATTCGGAGCTTATAGCACATCAGAGAATGTTGCTGTGGGGGATTCAAGGGCCGGGGGGTTTTTCTCTTCCCCTGCCACTGACATTGTGGGACCACAGGCAAGTCACATCACTTTGACAGCGTCATTATCTTGTCTCTTAAAGACAAAGACTGCCTATTACTTTATGTCTTTTATTGTGGCGTTCTGGTCCAAGCCGTAGTCTCCCATAATATTGCAGCAAAAATAAGGGGCAAGGTGTTGAGTTAATAATGTTGTTGCATTTTTAGTAGTGTTTTCTCTACAGCACTCAACACACTGCAATCCAGTTACTAATAACTATGGTACCCTCTAAAGGTGGCTACATTACTTTTTATCTTAGTAGTACAGATGCACTAGCTGATCTGCAAGAAACCAAGCACTGTAACATGTTGCAGCCTGGGGTATGGCTAAAAGGTAGTTTTTCAATCCATGGCAAGTCCATGGAACTAAAGCTACATCACTGTTTCTTGTAGTTTCCTTTTCATCTAGGTCAAGTTTTCACCTTAGTTTACTGAGGGCCAGTACCTCTAGATTAGTGTTTCAGATAGCATCACTATGTCAATAAAGGATTTGTTGAGGTAGATAGTATCTACCTGGCACAGCAGTGCTAACACAACCCCCTCGTGTAAATGTAGTTAAACTTTTGTTAATGCAGCTTATTGTGCCTGGAAGCATGACGATGTGGAATAATTATACTGGCAAAAGGTGGTTTTGTTTATCTGTGGTACAAAATTGTAACCACAGAGGCACGTTTTGCTAGTGTAAATTGGTATTGCCATAGCATTTTCTAGCAGCGGCTTGGTGTAATGATGGCATAAAGAGGAATGAGAATACTGGAGGAATCTGGAACCAAGTGACTCAGGACTCACTGATGTATTTGTACAGAATTTTCTTGTTACTACACCTGTGCTGAGGTTGTGGATAGATAGGGCAGAATGGGAAGAACAGAAATAACAGTGGCGGAGGGGAGGTGAAAAACAGGTTTGAGGCTGTTTTGAAGGAGCACCAAGGTCACAGAGGAGTTCATCTGCCAAGTCATGAGGCTGACTTGATTAGATGAAATGCAGAGTGGAAGTAGTAATAAGAAAGTAATGGGTAGGCACAACACAGATATGATCTGAGGAACAACACAAGAGAAACTTTAAATTGGTATAGTCTCAAGAACTGGGAATGGGTTGTTTGGACTTTTGCTGGTAAAGGAATTTGAAAAAGGCTGAGGTATAATAGTGGCACACTTTCCAACAATATGGATGTTTCACTGTGCCAGTGTTGGCTTCTGCACTGTTTCTTATGTCTGTATTTGCTGTCCTTAATATCAAGGAATTTTGCGAAGGTATGGAAGCACTGTCAAAAGGAGCTTGCTCTAGGTATTTATTCTGTCAAATGGAAATGGGTTTCTCCTCTGAGATCCTCACTGTCTTTGTTAAAAAAACAAACAAACAAAAAACCCACACATCTGCACTTGCACCTCTTGTGACCTCTAATAGGAAGTATATATTTTGTTTACCTACAGCATAGGGTGAGCGCAGAACACAAGATACATGAATTTTCAGTAATTGTACTGAGTGGCAATTATGTACAGCACACTTTTTTAAATTTAACCATTAATT